TCGCGACCCGACCCCGGATAGGCGGAAGAAAATGGATGGATGGATGGATAATGTTAAGTTAATTTAAACAGATTCTATTAGAATATACTTGTACCAGTGTAGTTCAGTTTATTCAATACCATTGAGTTGTAGGTTATAGGAATTTAGTYTAGTTTAGAAATTAGTTTAGTAGAACCATTTGACATAACTGGGTCAAGTAATTGCTAAGTTCACATTTTTTTATGTTTCTTTAGATCAATTCAACAATTTGAATCCAGCAAACAGAACACATTCATGACTGATACCTGGTCCTTTCAGACTGTAATAGTTCAATTTATTCATTTATTCATGAGCTTATATGCATAATTCTTAATACATTTAATGTCAAACACATTTATTTTCCATACCTGATGTGCAGAAGTAAAAGGAGGTTCTAAAATTGTTCAAGTAAATTTAGTTGGACTATTTACAGGCACAGCTAAAGCTTGTGTCCAAACACATTCAGGCCTCAGCGACAAAATGCCCTTTAAACATCAAAAACAAAAGTTACAGATCATAAGTTAACCATCATTTTAAAACCAGAGTGGTAAAGTAAACAGTACTTTCCATTAATGCAATGAACCAAATGCATTTTTCAAAAATTWAAACAGTTTTTGTGTCGGGACTCTTTAAAATCAGAAACTCGTGTTGTTTTAAACGCTCAGAGGACGTTTCAGAGTCCAAATGAAACAGAAACAAGAGGTTTGAACCCAGAAATCTCCTGCTTTACTGCTCGTCTTTTAAACCAGGGGTGTCCGATCCTGCAGCGCGCTTCAGCGGTTCTTCAAGTTCTGCAGAAGCCTGTTAATCTCTCATTCATGCAAATCAGGTGTGTCAAAGCAGAGAAACATCTGAAACATGCAGGATCACAGCCGCCGAGTGCCAGGATCAGACAACCTGCTCTGAAACTTTCATGTAGAAACCTGGAGACTTCTGTTTCAAACTTCCCTACAGGGGGTCACCGCTGGATATTTTACACAGTTTGCTGTACAAAAACTTAATATAAAGTTACTTTATTAAAGACATTTCACCATTTAAAACTTTTCTTTCTTTTTTACACAGATGCTTAAAACTATCACCTGTTCCTTCATATGTTCATCGTTTTTTTACATTATATAACAAAATATTGTAAAAAAAAATGCTTTCCTTCTTATTGCATGCACATTTTATAGAACTTCACAGAACCTAAACCCATCAAAGTGAACTGTAGGTAAAATATCTTGTTGACATTTCCTCACACTTTAACACTGGCGTAAACCTGGAAAGAAAGCACTTCATCTGGCGTCGCTGCAAAGGGAGTGAAAATGCACGGCTCTAAGATTTAYAAAAAGAGGAATGATGAAACTGGCAGAACTGGTTTGTCAGCGAGGTGTTCTCAGGCCGAACCGGTGCAGGATCAGGTACCGAGGTCATTTCAGTGAAGAATGAAGCGAGTGCGGCAGGAAGCAGGAAACAGAAACACAGCTCTTTAAATTCTGTTCCAGTGAGACACTCGGGTGTTTGACGGGAAAAACAGCATTAGATGTCCTCTGTCCTCTGCTCACGCTGTTGCTGTTGTTTTCCATCAGTACCAGTAAATGTCCTTCTTGTCCCCATGTCGTTCTGACAAGGAGAAGACAAACATGAGGCAAACTTTATGCACCTGAGCTAAAAGACATGATCTGCTAAATCCCCTCTAACCTTTATAATCACTGCACATTTCTATGGGCATTTGTGTAATTGCCTGCATACGTGTGTTGACTTGCCTGTTAGCAAAATATCTCACAAACAACCAGAGGAATTTTGATGAAACTTTCAGAAGATATTTACTGAAGGAGCATCTAAAACTGATTAGCTTTTGGAGCCAACCTGTTTCAAGATGACCGCCACGGCTAATCAACTTTAGCAAACGCAAAAATTGCTTTAACTCAAGCAGTTTTTCAAGTGATAAGCTAAAACTTAGTTTGGTAGTAGCTGAGACTCATACCCTTCCTGTACTCAGAGCATTGGCTGATTGCACAAGATCTGGTTTTAAAATGTTGCCATTGAGCAATTCAGTCAACTCTGCCCTGTCTGTTAGCAAAATATCTCATGAAATCTTGGTTGGATTTCATTGTAACTCTGAGAAAATGTTTTTTTGATCTACATCTGCAGCTGATTAACTTTTAGAGTTAGTCTGTTTCGAGATGGCTGCCACAGCCTATCAACTTTAGCGAACACAAAATGTCTTTAACTCAGTCAGTTTGAAATAAATCAAGTTAATATTTGGTATGTAGCTGAGATTCATCCACAACACATATTCTGACTGATCCACAGACGTTGTAAACGTGCCAATTAGTTTTTGTAATTACAGCACAAATAAAACGTTCTTCAAAGAAATTTCTGTATTTGTTCCTATTTAATCAGGATTTTCTCAGCTACAGGAAGAGAAAAGAAGTCATGCAAAGGTGACGTGTTGCAGTTTCAAACTCACCTGGTTCAAAACCAGGAGGGTCCACAGAGTCTCTAAACCCCTGAGGGACTGTCCAGCCGGGTACTGGTTCTGGTTTGGAGCTGGAGGCCACGCTGGGTCCCATGTCCCCCCGGTCGCCGTGCAGCAGGTTGAGCAAGGATGCAGAATATTGCTGTCCGGTAAAACACTGCCCCTCTGGGGTCATGTGGCACATGATGGTCGGCATCCCCGGACCCTCTCTAGTCCTGATTGGAGTCCAGGAAGCAGGAACCTCGTTTGGAGAGCTGAAGCTCACAATGTGTCCTGCTTCAGGTGAGACCAGGGACTTGGAGTAAGACATGCTGTCCTGACAGGTGTTTATGTGCTCTGCAGAGGAAAGGAGAACAAACAATTTCCACATTGTTGGGTTTGTTTTCAGGCGGCGCCATGCTGGGTTTCCATGCTCACCATTTTTAATAGGTTTGTGGATATTCTTTGTCTTGCTGGAGAGTTCTGTCGGTTTGCAGACTTTGCTGAGAGCCCGTGAGAAGTGAGCGTCCACCATGCTGTTTATGTCCCCCTGGAAGTAGGTGAGGACCACGCTGTGGGAGCTTTCCTCCACTTTCACTGCGATCGGGCTGTCAGTTCGTTCCTCCATGGCTCTGCTTCAACTAAAACAAAAAGAAAATGWGTAATTATTTTATAAACATTATAAAAAAAACTTAATTTCCTTTTTAAATGGTGCCACATTTGTAAGGAATATGCATTTGTGGGATGAGCAGTAGAGCTGACTGCACACACAAAAAATTGCCAAATCTTCCCCGCCTATTTTAAAGTTGCTTTGTGATTGAAATGAGATTTATTGCCAAGAATCATCGCCACAACAAAGAAATAACTCAACAAACACTAATGTCCTTGTTTTTTGTGCCAAGTATAATTCTCAGTGAAATGTGAAGCAGTCGGGTGCAGATTTAACATCCAAACGTGAGAGACTATAATGCTTTTATATATCTGTGGGTGTAGTGTTAGCAAAATATCTCAGAAACTCGTGGGCGGGTTTCAATGAAACTCTCAGATTGTTGTCAACCCAACTGAAGATGAACCACGTCTGTGTGAGTTTATAAAAAAAACACAAAAATGACCGCAGCCCTGTGAGTTTTACAGATATTAAGTGTATATGTGGTGAGTTGGCAGCTGAGTTTTAGTCCAAGCAACAACTAACTGCCACTRAGCCAACRCTGTCCGTCTGTTAGTAAAAYATCTGATAACCCACTGGATGGATTGTAATGAAACTCTCAGAGAGTAATGCCTTTGATTTTTTTTAAATATCTCCAGTTTCTTTTTCTTTGTCTAAATGTTTTTGTTTTTCTGTTTTAATCCATTTCTTTGGAATGTGAATGAATGATGCCTGATCTAGAAGTGTTGCTTTAGTTTTTGATTTTGAAAGAATGCACCCATCAAACATTTTAWACACATAAATTATGATCTTTTTTTTATTGCTGTTTAGTGTTGTTGCAGACATCAAAACAAATACAGAAATTTGCAAAAAGGTGCAAGTTTAACCTCTCAGATGTTGTTTCTTATAATATACGTATGTGACCCATCATATTGGAATGAGGATTAAGTCAC